GCCTTACCTGAACTGCCAGCCGCAGCCTTGATTGGCCCGCGCAGACTTCCCCCCAAGTTCCTCGCGCGAGTCCGAGGCGCAGCCGCGGGTGGCGGGGAGAGCGGCGGAGAGGAGGACCGAGCCCGCCCGTCTGCCTGGCTTCTTCGGGGGTCCTCGTGTCCCAGGGACGGGGAGGACGAGAGCGGCTTCGAAGCGGCACCGCGAGTTCCTCTCAGAGGGGCGCAGCGGGGCAGGCTGAGCCCGGGCGGGTCCTTCCCATTCTCCAGAAGGCTCTCTCCCCCGAGGGCAGGGCGCCAGGAGAAAGCCGCGGGGGGGGGGGCTGGAGACGGCAGCCGGGCTGCCTCCGACTGTCCCCACAGGTGCACCGGACCGCGGGCGGGAGCTGCGGGCAAAGAAGCGCCCGGAAGAGCCGAGGGGACGGCGCGCTCCTCGCTCTCTCGCTGCCTGCCCGGCTGGCTGACTAGCTGGCGGAGTTGTTGGGAGTGTGTGTTGCTCGCGCCGAATGTCACTGGAGTGCAGCCGGGAAGAGCCGCTCCCCACACCCCGCCCGCTACTTTCCCTCCCTCCTCCCGCTGCCAAACTCGCGCTCGCTCGCTCGTTCTCTCGCACGCGGCGCGCGGGCCCACCGAGCACCAACCAGGCTTCTGGGCCACGCCAGGCAAAAGCCTATCACCACCGTCGCCTGCCTCCCCCTCCCCGACTCCTGTCAGCGGTCCCCCCACGGGCCGGCAGGAGGGCAGCCCACCCCTCACGCGCTCCTAGGCGGGCTCGCTCGTTGCCGCCCGAGAAAAGGAGCTGGAGCGCTAAGCGCGCGGGGGGGAGGCGCTTTACCTCAGGATGTAACTCGCCTGATGCCAGCCCCCCTCCCCCCCCGGCTTGCAGGAAAAGAGGCTCCCGCGCGGGGCTAGCCGAAATCATAAGCAGGTGCCTGTCAGGCTCTCGCCAGCGGAGACCTGCCAGGCAGAGCACGCAGGCAGCTACCTGACTTATGCTGAACCTGGCAACTGGCCCATCCAGGTCAGTATTCTCTCCTCTGACTGGCAGCAGGTCTGCTCAGGAAGGGGCTTTTCTCAACCCTGATGATACTTCATGTGTGGGGAAAGACTTCCCTCCACCTGATCAGCAGCTGTTAGAGTAGACATTTCTGAGCTGGGCTCAGAAGACTAACTTTTGTTATGTTTCTAACTGAAGCTGCCTTGGGGGACTTACACACTCAACCTGCTCTCCAGCACTGGAGCCTTCTGGAGCCCCACACAAACTTTAGCAATCACTTTTAGAATGTCGTGCTATAGGGAAGGGAAACATGCTTATAACAAAATTGTGAACAAAACTGTGAACACAGCCCCTCCTGATTC